ACTTGAAACTAAAGTCTAGGAACTAGAAACCTAGAATTATAAAACTAAAAAAAAAAAAACTGAGCTGATAATAATCCTGAACCTAAAACCGAAATGAAAAAATAATGTAGCAGATATGGGCACAACCATAATAAACCTAAGACTCAAATACTGAAGCTGAGAACCTAGATTATACGTGATTAAACCTGAACTTAAACTACAACATAGAGACATGAACTTCGGCTACACGAAAAAACTGAAATTTAATTCACTGAAACTCTAATGCAGGTTACAAAACTAAACTGAACCTCACAAACATGACTGAAACTGATAACTGAAAATAAATAAAGAGACAGAGACAGAAAAAACACTACTGGACTTGAACTGAACAAAAACTGAAAATAGGTTCTACTAAACTTAACCTGAAAATAAAACTGAACTAAAACTGAAAATAGATTCTACTTAACTGAACCTAGATTTAACACTGAATCACAAGAAAACTGAAATACATAACAGCCAAACTCTAATGTAGTTCAATGAAATTTGATGGTACTCAACTTAAATTCTAAAAAAACTAAACCTAAAGTAGAATGGATAATTAATTCCACTGGACTTGGAACTGAATTTATAACGAAAAATAGACTATACTAAACTTAACCTGAACTTAAACAAAACTAAAACTAAAAATAGATTATACTAAATTGAACTAACCTAAATTTATTGAACTAACCTAAATTTATAATACAATTAAAGTGATGTAATGACAAACTGAACTAACTAAACAAAATTCAGAAAATAAAAACTATGAAGATAAACTAAACTATCTGTTAAAATTCTAAAAGTGAAAATTGAAACAATTTTCAGAACAAAAATTCACACAATGAAGTTGAACCATAGCTGCAAATGAAAGCCTAAGCCAGCTTATAAATTGAACTGTACCCAACCAAATAGATCATAGTCTAGTGTAACGAACTGTGCTTTACTGGAACCAAGTGAAGCAAACAGCATAACTCAGCAAACTTCTGCACCATCACCACCACAACAGAAAAGGCATGTTGCATGCCTTGCGTGGCTCACATTAGATGAAACTAGCCTAAACTTGCACATGTGAGTATTACTAGGTACATTGATGGTACACAATAACTATACTTTCCAAACAACCGAAACAGACACTAGCCATACACTTATAAAACCTTTGTCAAGTATATAACTCAATCTCACACCACAAACTTCAATCATAGATTATTGTAGCTTGGTTAATAGTTCACCAATACAGCCGACATATGTAGATGTAGTCACTAGGTTTCATCAGCTCTACGCAAATAAATATGTAGATGGATACATATATAGCAAGCAAAACAATCCCATAAGCGCAACCATCAAATCGCACAAAAAAAACAGGTACGGATGATGTGCCTCTTATTACAAGCATCTGGTCTGGTACCTCTCAAATGGGCTGGGTTGAGGTGTGAGATTGCTGACAGCCAGACACATACACACACTTGTAGACACATGAAAACTAGCTAATTTAGTGCGGCCACGTGCATGCACAAGACAGCTAATCAAGACTCTGGGATTTAGTGCAGCCTCAACTAATTAAAATCTAAGAAAACTAATTCAATCGAAGATATCAGTCAGGCGCCAGGCATCCCAGTTACACAAGAAATATGAATTTTCAAGAGCTATAAAAATTATTTAATGCATGCAAAAAACTTAAACCTTGAAATCTTGGTGAATCAGACTGTTTCTTAACTATGTGTCAGTTTAAGGAGTTAATTAAACATTAACTGAATTTGTTTAGGGACAAACAATAATTTATTTTCTCCCTTATGCTCATTTATTTTTCTATAAGAATGCAGAAAAGAATAATTTATTTGCACAAGCCAAAAAAACGTACATCAGCAGTAGAAATGATACCTTGGATTTGCAAAACACAACAAATTGCACCAACAAATTTATATTTGTAGTAGAAATGAAGGCATAAAAAATAGAGGAACACATATAAATAAAAAAATATCTATTGCTGATGTACGACGCACACTTACAGGTTCATGTCCTTCGTGACCATGTTCTGCTCAAGTAGTTTCATCTACAACACGAAAACATTTGCTCCTAGCAGCCATGATTACCTAAATTTGACAAAAAATCAATATATACTATCAAAATTCTCTAACAGTAACAAAACATGTCATCTACCTCTACATCCACCCAATAAACCGAGCCAAAACATCTACAAAAGAAAACAACAAAACAATGAATCAACTATATGGCCTACAATATTTGTAAAACAAAGCTCAAGAGAACACACATACACATGGAAAAAAGAGCACAAGCGTACTTCTCTTGTTGACACTCACACGCACTTAGCATTAAATTCATCAAAAACGGCAGTGGAATGACTATAGAGATTCAGCTCACATGCAGCATTTAGGTATAAGGTATCTCAAACTTAACAATACATCAGGTAACTAAAACTTAACAGTACAGCAGATAGCATTCAGATGTCAGGTATCATGTAACTGGAATTTAACTGAACTAAAACAGATAAATGCAGTAACTAGTAGCATTCAAGTATCAGGTAGCATCACAAAAATCAGGTACATAAAAAAATTAGGTAGTTCACATTCAGAAAAAAAAACTCTGAAATGAATACTATAACTGAAAATAAATGAGCACTAAAAAACTAACTGAAAATAAACAATGAAACTAAAATCACATAAAGGGATAAGAGGCAATTATCATCATAGGAAAACAACATGCAGCTAAAAAATGTCTACTACAAAAATTATTCTACAAAGAGCATTACAGCGGAACACAATTTCATAATTAATTTTGTAGAACCGAGCTCTTCTCACAAATTAAACTGCCTTAAAAATCAACACCACATTTCCACTATCCAAAAACAATTATAAATACCAATCTACATCGAAAAAAAAACAAAGATACAATCGACAACAATAACGTATCATCTACCTCTGCATCAATCGAACAATTCAAATCCCTCGAACCATTCAAACCACAAATCATGTGAACAACAATCACATGACAATGAACCAACAAACAATCGTCAACTCCTAAAAGCTATACAGACTACCCTACAAAGACAACACCATCCGCCAATGAATCAAAAAATGGGGCAAAAAACCTAAGCACAAACTGAAGAACACGGGAACTCGGATCCCGCGTCACCTAAGGGGAAAACCCAAGACAACGAACAACATAACACAAAAATCGTATACGAGCGGACACACAAACCAAATCTGAAACAAGGACAAAGGCATTAAACATCAACACACACATTGAATAAGGCAACAAACAAACCCAAGCATCGATGGAACATATCGCAAAGAAGGGGTCATGAAGAACTTAGCTCGCGAAACCCTAGAAACCGCAGCTCGCCGTGCTGGGGAGCGGCACCAGGCCCTGAGCGCCCTGCACAGGCGGCCAAGGTCGGCGCGCCACGCGGGGGATCCACGCCGACGGCCGCGAGGAAGCGTGCGTCCTCCGAGTGGAACCGCCACACGCGGAGCAGCGCCAGGCCACCGTCGGGGCTGGCCAGGACCACGCCCACCTGCGCGAACCGGACGCCCTCCACGCGGGCGTGCGCGTCCTCGTAGCGGGCGTCGAGCGTGCCGCAGCCGTCGAGCGTGCCGGGAGTCGACAGGAGGAAGCCGAAACGAAATGAGAATGGGAAAAGGAGGAAACGGACGACACAAAATCAGACGCGGAGTCCAAAAGAAATTGAACAATAGCACTGATAATCGGGACCCACAACACAGAGAAACAAACGGTAGTGGCAAGCACAAGCATACGATGTCCATCCAACGGACATAAAATTCGTGTGCCAACAAACAACAAAACACATGTGTGTCATGTAGCATTTCTGTTCGGCTTATCGTTGAAGGGAAGGGGCTGAAGGGTGCGTGTGCGACTTGCTGTGTCCACGCCGGTGCGTGTGCGATTATCCGATTCCGACATACTTCGCCTTCACCGCATTTTTTCATCCGCCGCTTCCACGGCCTTGTTTAGATGTAAATTTTTGTAATCCCGGACATCGTCGCGTTCGCTGCGACAAACTTTGTCCGATCATGCTAGACTCAAAAGATTCGTCTTGTGATTTACAACCAAACACTTAATTAGTTACTTTTTTACCTCATTTAATACTTCATGTGTGTTCCAAAATTGATGTCCTCTTTGAGACAATCTAAACAAGGCCCACGTTCTCCCCGATCTGTCGTGCCGTGTCAGCTTCCCAATCCTCAGCACCTCCAATCCTGCTTTCGTTTGTATTTGATAAACTTTGTCCGATCATGAATTAACTAGGCTCAAAAGATTCGTCTCGTGATTTACAATCAACACCCTTTAATGCTTCATACATGCGTTCAAAAATTGATGTGATAAAAAAAATAAAAAAACTTGAAATTTGGAGATGATCTAAACAAGGCCCTAGCTAGAGCTAGAGGTCTGGATCGGATGTCGTACATTCTGCAAAAGATCAGACCGTCCAAACAAATAGTACGAACTTCAGCCGAACCTTCCTTTCCTATCCTGTCATATTTTGGTGAACGTTCCAATATCCTTTCCTATCCTATCATTTTGGTGATCTCTGAATACGGGTCCGAAGATTATTTTTGCTTTCTGTTGGGATAAAAAAACACTTTCCTAATCGAAATTTCACGTCAACACGAACGGTCTTGGTGATCTCTGAATACGGGTCCGAAGATTTAAGATTTCTGTTGGGATATTTCCGAGTATTTGTCAACACACGGTCATATTCTAGCTATAGAGGGTTAATTGCCAATTAAGGGGATACTGTGACAGTTGAAAAACAAATAGGAAAAATGGTGTTCTTACCCCTATCCAGTAAGCTAATTGTGATTTTGCCCTTCCTTTTCAACTTTGCGTTTTTATCTCATGTTATTTTGAACTGAACGATCCGTTTGCCCCTGCTTCTAACGTCCGTAAGATAGACATGGATTAAATGAATTAAAAAAATTATAAATCTGAAAAACAAAGGCCAAATGACCATAGTGCCCCTTATCTTATCTCCTCATCCCAAACGCATAGGGCGCCGTCGCTCACATCGGCTTGGGCGCAGCTTTTCTAGCGGCGGCGGCTTCCAGGGCGTGGGGCTGCCTCCCGGTCGCGGCTCCAAGGTGCGGGCGCGGCCTTCCTCTAGGTGCGGGGAGGCCACGGCGGCCGCCCGTGGGTCAGCGTGCGCGCGCCGAGCGGCGGCGGCAGGCGCCCTGCAGCGGCTCTCCGGCGGCGTCCGCCTGCAGGTCCCGGCGTCCGCCCGCAAGTCCCGAAGGCGCCCGGCCGTGGGTCGTCTTCTTCCTCTGGGCGCCCGGCTCCGTGGCTATAGGGGCGGGCGGAGCGGCATCAGGGCGGGCGGAGCGGGCGGCTCCGGTGCCTGGACGCGGCTCCCGGCGGCGCCTGGCAGCGGGTCTCCGCGCCGCCTCCTCCCTTCCTTCCTCCGCTCCTCCTCCCCACGCAGGCTCCCGTGCCCGCCTCCTGCTGCCCCGCTGAAGTCGCCGCGCATAATGGACGAATATACAAAGCGGCGGCGGGCCTGCCACCGTACAACTTTCCGCGCATGCGCAGTCTGCGCGTGCCGGCTTGCGTCAGTCTCCGCGACCGCCCGTGATCTGCCCCGGATGCGCACCCGCGCCGCCCTGCGCGGTGACGACGACTGACGAGGCATGTGGTGCGTGTGAGGAAGGCTTCTCCATCTGGCAACCAGGGGCCGGACGATCAACTCATCCGCGACTCCGCTTCGTCACGCGGCGTCGCCTCGCCGGCCTCCTCTCCCCGGTGCTCCCGTGCCCGTGGGTGCGTGCATATCCCTCTCTCTCATCCCTTTTCAGTTCCTCGCACAGTTCGAGCTCTTCCGAACCTGTGTTGGCTTCCTGCTTCGTGGCCATGCCCATGATGATTGCCACTTTGACTGGGAGCAACTGCGATTTGCCTTGTTTGATTTGGATTCGGATTTGATCCGGTCCGATTTGACGTGGATAAGGGCAAGTTAGGCTTTAAGGTACCCGAGCCTACTGCCATCATTTTGTATAATGATTGAAGCTTAGGTTGGTCTGTGAATTTGACGTGTCTAACCTCCTGTTTCAGGGTTTTCTCATTTCAGATTGGGAGGGCATTGACAGGATCTGTGAGCCACAAAAGCCTCGAGGGTCGGATTATCGCTATTGCATTGCACAATCAGTAAATGCAGGAATGGACATGGTATATGGTTATTTGAGTGTTCACATGAAATGCATTCCTCAATCATCTGTTCGTTTTGCCTACATTGAGCAATCTACAGATTATGATACCTCACAGGTTTGAGGAATTTTTGGACGATATTGTGTTCTTGGTGGAGACGGGGGAGATACCAATGTCTCGGATTGATGACGCTGTTGAGCGAATTCTGAGGGTTAAGTTTATTTCTGGAGTGTTTGAGCATCCATTTTCAGACCAATCTCTACTGGACATAGTTGGCTGTAAGGTAACATGCTTCTGGTTTCTTTCAAACTTCTGCGTATCTTTCTGTTTGAGCCATCTCAAAATTGATGTCACTAATGATAGGCAATATGTTGACCTTTCAGGAACATTGATTACTAGGGCGTGAGGCTGTTCGCAAGTCTTTGGTACTTCTGAAAAATGGCAAGGATCAGAAGGAGCCATTCCTTCCATTGGCCAAAGATGCAAAAATAATACTGGTTGCAGGAACACATGCTGACGATATTGGATATCAATGTGGTGGGTGGACGATAGCATGGCATGGAGACAGTGGAAAAATAACTCCTTTGAGTATTGGATCACTGAAGTAGTATGCTGTGATTTTCCTTTGAGTAGATCAATGTTGTAGTTTTCCCTTGAGGGGCTCTGATCGGCGGATGGCGCGTCGGATTGGAGCAATCAAGTTTGGGGGATTTCCTGTCCCTCTGGAAGGGATCAAATGCGACGCCTACCTGGTGGACTGGGCGGAGCTCTAGTGTCAGCTAGTGCTCGTCCTGCTGGCGCCTGCCTCATCTAGGCCCCCTTTATTCAGTTCTTGCTGCGAGTTGTTAATCTACTGTACCAGGGATCCGTTTGGCCGGAGGTTTTGAGGAGATGGATGACGAGGACTACTCGTGGGTGCGGCGCACCAGGTTCTCGCAGTCCATCGTCAGGTCCAGCTCCGGCAGGGAGCAGTATGGCGCGTTCATCGAGCAGTTCAGTCGTGGCGCCGAGCTGAGGCAGAATGGGTTGGGCACAGGGTACAAGCACCCTCACCAGAAGGGGGTCATCGGCCTGAACTTGGACATTCCTCAGCGGCATGTGGTTCGGCCATCCAAGGAGAGCCCAGACGCGCTGGATTTCTCTTTCCACTCGGACGAGCACAGCCAGAGGCTCCAGAGAGTTTGTTCCAGCGCTGCTCCTTTCTTTATGAAGGATGCAACAGCAACAGCTGATTCATGTCATTCTCTTTTCCAGCTTGGTTAGTAAATACATGGTGTAGTTTTAGTGCTTGTAGTGTTACATGAACCAACTTGTATGGCGGTTACTTTTGCTGAAAAAACATGTATTGTATGACATTCCTATGTGGTAAGGTACTAAGGTTATCAGTGCATGCATCTACTTATACAGTTTGTTAACCGATGTTCTACATGCATTCTTATACATTGAAGATTTTTGGTCCCACACAAAAGATTATATCGAAATATTTCTTATGGCGTTACATTTGTCATCATTATGAACCTTTTGGTCCCAAAATTTTAAATATGTATCAATATTAAATCTGAGTTCAAATAATTACAAGTTGTGCCAAATATGTTTGACCAAATTTAATTAATTGTCAGCATATACTAAAAAAGTCTAATTCCAAATCAGGGTAAAATCACAATTAGGCATAACAAACAAGGGCAAAATCGCATGGGCATTCATGTCCTTTTGTACAAAGTTTAACACCGTTAGGAGTGGATGACGGAGCAAGAGCAAACTGGTGCTTCGTGAATGACACAGTAGGGAGTAAATTCACAAAGTCAAAAAAAATAGAGACAAAATTACAATTTCGATACAAAACAAGGGTACAAACGCAAGAGCCCCAAACAAATACGAGTAGCCAAGGAAGCAAAGTAATTTTCATATATTATATGTTCATACACTAAGAGGGTGTTTGATTTATGGAACGAAGTAGTCCGTCATCATCTCACTCTAGTTTTTTGTTTGGTTTGTGAATAAAATGGGTTAGTCCATCACCTACATCATTCCTCATAAGCTAATAATTAATACTAAATTAGATAAATGGACTCACGATGCATTATCCTATCTAGAATGAGTTGATTCCTCAAACCAAACATTCCACAAAATTAAAAGCATGAATGATTCTTCCACGCATCGTAAGGTACATTTCTCAAACTTGTGGACCCATGTGACATGTCCACCTCCTGTTGTTGATACCCTCTAACCAATTGCCTATCAAATTCCCTCTCAATAGCTCCACCAACTGCGCTCCATCTGCACGCTCTTGCATGCCTGCTCTAATGACAACATGGGAGAGGAACATGCTAGCTGGCATAGACAGCTGTGAGGCGAACCTTGTGGGGGAGTAAGAGGTGGCGACAAGGGCGGGTGCCTTCTCAGGCAAGGTCGCTAGTAGGGTGGAGGTGGTCAATGCGGTGGTTGCGGACTTATGCACACGCCATAGTGTGTAAGTAGAAGACAGAGGGTGTCGACAACAGCGGTGTTCCAATGGACACATCATCTTCTTGGACAAGGTCACTAACGATTGACGTGGTTGCTAGCAGATTTCTACACGGAATAGACTATATGGGCAGGATGCTGAGTAGCACAAGACAGAGACAGTCGTTCGTGGTGGCGAAGCGACGAAAGGGGCAGCATCGATAGGATGGTAGAGGTAGCTAGGGTGAGCGAAGAGCACAATGGACTTTGTTCTTGTCGATCGTGTCAAACACTGAAAGGTATCACCATGCCCAATGGGTTTACATTTGACCTCCTAGTCACAACGGTGTTGTTGGGGATGCACGTCGAGACCAGGGATGTGATAATCGTTGCGTCGATATCCATGCCTAGATTTGTCGTGGCATGTTTGCTAATATATTCGTACAAGAAATTTGCCAATATATACAAACTAGAAGAACGCCCCGCGCGTTGCTACGGGAACCGCTGGTGAAATTATACTACTTATATTTACTAATATGATTGAATAAATATCATAATGCATGTTAATGAATCATTTTTTTAGCATTCTGATGTGGACAACTAAATATATATTAGTAAATGTCGTGGTTTGCTAATGTGAATAGTTTGAATAGACATAATGGTATGTCTTAGTTGGATGTGTTAGTGGATGCTGATGTGGACACTTTGCATGGTCCGACAATTGAATGTACTAATGGGATGTGTCTAGTTGATGCTGGTGTGGACACTTTGCATAGCAAGTTAAATTGCTAATGGGGTTTATCTTTATAAGAGATATAGGTAGATAAGTACTGTTGCCCAACTATGATGATTATTTTCCACAAAAATAAGTTTTAGACCATGTTTATTGGGTTTGTGTATGTTAGTGTTTTTCCCTGTTGCAACGCAGATATATATTTACTTTTTAGATATTGGAAGAAGTGTCTAGCTTCATCCCATTAAGAGGAATCAGATTAAATTATTACAACCTAACACCTCAAGGCAAACAAAGTTTTTTTAAGACAAGAACAACAACTCAACACCTAATTCTCAGTAACGAAGGTCATCCATAGGACGCAAGGAGTCAGCATTATCACTATCTCTAAACTTCAGCAAGCCCCCTATAAGCGCTTGTCAATTGGGCAAGAACTAAAGCCAGTGGGTCCTATATAGAACTTGCATAAGATATTTAGGTCGGCGATTGTCGAAAACAATTTTATTTCTTGTTATCCATATTGACATTGAAATGGTCTACACATGTATGTTTCAAATGTATGTTCCATATGTTTTAGACATATGTTGCAAATGTATGTTCCAAATGTTTCAGCTGTTTCAGACGCATGTTTCATGTGTCTCATCTAGATGTTGCAATAAATATACAAGTACGTTTCAATAGTATATTGCATATGTTGCAACGGTCGGATGGATGTTGCAGAGGAGATGAAATATTAGGACAAGGGAAGAGGCACGGCCGAGATAGAGCGCGGTGGAGGAGGGGGGGGTAGGGATGGCGTCACGGTGAGGGGAGGAGCACGGCGGGCTTGATGTCGGGGACGCAACTAGGATGAGGATCAAGTCGCGGATGGTCGAACGGGGTCACTGGCATGGGATCGGTCGTGGGTGGTCGGACATGATTCGCTGGAGCGGGGTCTGATACAAGCATAGGGGGCGTCCGAAGCGAAATGGTTGCAGACGTCGGAGCTGTGTGTCTGGACGCTAGCCCTGCTATTAAACAAACGACCGGGTAAAAGAAAAGGACTGAAGGAAATTGAAAGGACCTAGGATGTCGCCTAGAGGGGGGTGAATAGGCGTTTCTGAAAATTAACACCTTTAAATGCGGAAACAATTAGAAAGAGAAGTTTCCAAAATGGAAACTCCAAATTAAGAGTACTACCACCCCTCACAAGTTAGCCACAGAGTAAACAAGGTATAAAGAATATATCTAGAAGCTACAACCCTGCAACACCAAGTTAGAACAGAGAATAAATATTTTCAATGCAGGCAGGAAATACCGGACGTGTCCGGTATGAATACCGGACGTGTCCGGTATACACGATTTCTGCAGATCGGCCCCGAACTTGCTCCTTTCGATTTCTATCTTCAAACCAAACTACAGGCACCTAATGGAGATGACAATATACACAGAGAACCTACAGAATAGCTAGAGCAACATAAATATCAAATAAAATGCAAACTGAGACACGATATTTGTTTTACCGAAGTTTGGACTCGTTCGAGTCCTACTCTCCGTTGAGGGGGCTGCGGGCGACCCAGCGAAGGTCAGCCCTAGAGGGTACCACGAAGGTCACTCTAGCCGGAGTCTTTTCCAATTCCTTTTTCTCCTTCCACTAATTTGATTCCGAGGCGGTGGAATCGACCGTTACAAACTTTTCGAGGCACACCACAATCTCTCGGGTGCTCTCCGGCGACGCCTAACCGTCTAGGACCGAAGAGTCCAAGAGTAACAAATGTGAATCACGAGATTGACAATATGCACAAGTGCTCAAGTGGTGGCTTACTCTCTTTTTCAAATTCTCTCTTAACCCACAAATTGAATTTACAATTTAGATCACACATTCACTAAGAGAGGGTTTAGGAGAGTTGGCAAGGCTCAAAAACGTATGTCTATCTCAGCAGAATCAGTAGCCTCCAAAGGTGGAGGCTTGGGGGTATTTATAGCCCCCGTTGAAAAACTAGCCGTTTTATAGCCGTTGCAATACCGGACACGTCCGGTATGCATACCGTATTTCGTCCCCAGATGACTTACATCATGCCAACGGTAACAAAGTTACTGATCAATTTGTGAGGCGTCGAACTCCCGATGAATGTCGAACTTCCGACCGTCCGGAACTCCCGACTCACGCCGGAACTCCCGTCCCTCAAAGATATTTGAAAACCATTGCAACCGAGTTAGAAAATTTGAGGTGTCGGAACTCCCGATACATGTCGGAACTCCCGACCGTCGGAACTTCCGACTTACGTCGGAACTCCCGACACTTAGTACATTTAAAAACAGTTGTTGGCCTTTGGTCATCCATACCGGACACGATACCGGACACGTCCGGTATGACCTGGACAGTGAACTCTCCAAATTATTTAAATTGCGAGTCGTCGGAACTCCCGACATACGTCGGAACTCCCGACGAACCAACCCGAGAACAACACTTTTACAGTTACTGGGCAAATACCGGACACGTCCGGTATTGCCAGACCAGCAAAAATAAAGTTGGCTCTTTTGTCGCTCAAATACTCAAAACTCACATGGGTTGGCTTGAGCACTTATGAAACATTATCTATCAACATGATGCATCCCTCTTAATAGTACGGCATTCCTATTTACTCAAATTTAAAAGTATAACGAATTTAAACCTTTTGAGTTGCTATTTTTGAACCGAAGCCGTGTATTCCAATCTTCATCAAGTGAGGGTGCCAACATGTTGATATTGATCTTTTTCACTTGAGCATAGCCATCTTGAGCACGTGACTTGATTCCATTCATCAAATTTGAATAATCCCAAATGTATCAAGTCACTTCTATCAAACACTCCAATAGTGATTTGATCCTTCACATCAATATGACCATCGTAGCTTGATTAGTACCTCAACTAAATGCAAGTACTTTCTTCTTCACCCTAGCTAGGTTCTTCGGCCGCCAAGCCGTCGCTTGCCCTTCACCCTTGCTTAGTACCTCGAAGCCTTTCCTTGCTATCTTCATCATCTCAAGCCATCAAGTCACATCTTGTGTTGAATCATCCATTCATTTGTATTGTTGTCTTTTTCATTTCAATTTAGCAAGCTTCAAA